TATAGCTTCATGTAATGGTACAGCAAATCAAATATTTTTGTTTCAGATATTATATTTAGCAATAGATTTGTATACGAATTAATTATATTTATATTCACAATGTTTTCATGTCACTCTATATAATTGTTACTGTATAAATTTTTACAGTAAACTAATATATTAAATAAAAAAATTCAATTAAATAGAGAACAATGTACAGGTAGATATAGGTTAGGTTAGACATATAGGTTATGTCGCAAAAATCAATTCCTATCTTATATTTTTTGAATAAAGAGTCGGAAAACATTTGCCACAAATTTATATTTAGAAATTCAATACAAATGTAAGTAAAATACAAATTGAGTTCCTGTGGTATATATGGGTGAAGACATGCATTGACTTCAGATACAGTAATACATGAATATCTATAAGATTGTCATTTGAGGAGTGAATCGACACAATAAAACTTATTGTTATAATAAGCGAATGTCACGCAAACCACAGGCAATCACACAAAACACAGAACATCTGCAGTCGTCTTATATTATAAGACTTATAACCTCTTATGACAGTCACTGTCATTGGGTTTGTGTTCACTATAGCGAGACATTTCCCTATTTATATGTAAACTACAGTATTAGTAAATTAGTAAATAGTATTCAAAAGTTAGCTTACTAGTTAGCTTAAACATTAAGTGCAAAATACGGTCGCATACATTGTATCTAAAGTTTCTATGACTACATTAGAGACAATACTTTTTTCGCTGCCTCTATATTATCGACAACTTTATAACCGATGACTTCAATCATATTGAGTGCCGAAACAAATTCTTTGCGAATACGAAATATCTTTTATTTAATTATTTAAAAATAAAATTTATTGCATAGAATTCCGTCAATAATAACTATTGACGATAAGAATATATTTAATTATAACTCATTATAAGAGAAACTTATAATTTGTTTTCAATTGTATGTAATCACGAGTTATAGTAAAGTACTTATGAACTAAAATATATTAATTAACAATAATTTGTTATGGTTTATCAATTGATTTGATTATTAATATTAGTTATTAAGACTTGTTACAGTATTGATGTCCCATTGAACAGTGCTTGTTACATCAATTCTAACTTATATATAATCTTATTTTACAATATATGATTATACCAGTTTAAGACTTTAGTGTTTTAATAGTTCATTGATTATAAGTGAAAAGAAGTTAAAAATAAAATTAAGATAATATACTAGAATCTACACTGAGACCATTATCAGGGCTAAAATGTTAAGAGATTATTGATATGATATAATATATTAGTATACTATTTTAAGACTACTTTTACTTGTTAAATTTATACAGTATATTGTATTTAAATTAAATATGAAAGCGGTTCTGAGTTACAATACTGTAATTCAAAAACATGTTTTAAATTAAAGTTTATCAAATTAGTTTTATATTATCAGATCACATCAAAAAGTTGTTGACAAATTTGTGTCAAATTGATTGTATTTTTGTATTTCTCGCGCTAACACTAAATAACAGAATTTAAATGTAAATCAGTATTTTTAAAACATTGTAAATTACAATTCGTAGATCTAATTAGTAGTCAAATATGACTCCAAGTTTGGATGCTTTTCAGATAATTTTATATATCTTATTATCTCTAACATTAATATATCTGTTGTATGAAAATCGAGGATATAGGCGATTAGTTGTCATTATATTGATTGCAATCATAGCTGTACTTCAATTGCGACACACATTAGTAAATGACAACCATTTGTTGTCCAACACCACGGCTTTAAATAAAGGATTTAAAAGTTTGATTCGTTTCGGCAAACAAAACACATACCAAAGCGACGACCATAAGAACCAATCCGATGAAAACATTTACATCTATAATACTCATGAAATAGCCGGTAGTTTATAACAAGTTTACTTGATTTGCAAAAGTTGTCATCTGTTTATAAATATGTTAGATATCGAAGAGAGTAATAGTCCGAGAAATATGACAAAATTGGAGCGATTTTATAGGAATAGACTGAAGAAGTGGAGACAAATCGTCAGAAATAAAAGGATCAGATTTTTGAAAGCTATTCGCGCGGTTGGCGTTGTCTTCATGATTATGACAATCGCTGCACTCATTTGCATAGTTTTTGTCTATTATAAAGAGTTTTGTCAAAACAATTAAAGTCTGTTTAGGGTTTGTATAAGAAAAGCAATTTTATGCAAAGCTCTTTTAGTTTAATTTATTAATAAAGAAAAATATATACTATCTCATTTGCTTACAATCCTAATTGTTTTATTGATTTGTTTATGAAAATAGTATTTCTTAGTTAAGAGTTGTGAATATTTAAAAGTTCATAAGTATTTTATATATTTTATATTTTAATGCAATAAACAAAACATAATAATATTATTTGTTTATTTGGAAAATAATTTCCATTCATTTAATGAATAATACAAATGTTTATGTTTTTATAAGTTATTTGAATTAATAATTTCTATTTCCGAATAAATGCTGTAATAATGAGTTTTACAGAAATAAATTAGTAGTTCATTATTGTATTTAATCAGTAGAGCATTAGTTAATGATTTCCCACTAACTTAACACAACTTATTAACAAAATTTAACTCACTATTTTTACTAAAAGTTTTTAAGTATATAATTACAATCACTATATTAATATGAAATTGGTTTTGTCAATTGATTTTTAGAAATATTTACTAATTGTCGGTTCGCATACAAGAAAATAACATTTATTAAATGATAACTTATTTTATCAACGAATGGAAATAAATTATAGTAATTACTTGCATCGAAATCTGTATGAATAGCAATGGTTTTCCATTCACAAAATTCTTGAACTTGTAATTCACAGTAATTTCGTGGCCAATGAGACCATGAAATTAATACAATGAAAAGATTTATTTTACAATTGTATACTTTGTATACTTCTTTCATCATATGCCATATGAATTGAACAAATTTGTCATTTTAAACTTCCATTCAATTATAATAGCTAATACTGTACAATTAATGATTTCAATTCAGTCACAACACACACTTAAATTAGTGAGAAATTGATATAAAATCATATAAGTATAAAAACATTACTTACTTGAATATATAAATAAGAAGACAATTGTGTTTTAACTTAATATAAAACTAAGAGAAATTTGAACACAAAATACAAGCATTAAGACAAAGAAGGATCAAAATGTGAGGAATAAAGTCGAGAATTTTGTTGTGATTTTTGAGAGTAGAGTTGTTTCCGAGAATTATGTGAACTCAATGGGATTTCCGAAGTATTTTTATAAGTAAATTATTATTACTTTATATTTTGTAACTTTTGACAAATGCTTTCTGTTTTTCAGAAAGCTTTGGTTTAATGTGTGGTTGTTTTGCAATGCATTTAACATTAGGAATACAGTATATTGTTTTCTTTTTAAATTAATATTAATAAATGTTACAAATTCAATATACTGTAATTACGGTATTTATTTATTTTTATAAAGTTAATAAAGTTAATGAATATGTGTTTCATCAAAATTTCCAATTTATGAATAAAATTGCTAAAATTAGTTAATGTTTTGATTGATTAATATATAAAGAATGGAAAGTTTAGAAAGATTCATTATTAATATATTTATTGTTACTTCTATAATGAACAAATTTATTAATTTTTATTGATAATAGTATATTTATTCTAACTACTAAATTTATTCTTCAAGTAGACTATCGATATTGTAATGAATTTAATACACTATTCAACACTCAATTCATTAAATATTCATTCAATTCATAATAAAATAATAAATCTACGGCTAATGAAGTGATTGAACTATAAATTATAGCTTATTATTAGATCTTAATTGAACAGTCGTTCCCTTACTTTCTCATTTAACATAATCTCTTATTTTATGCATTTTTATAAAAAAAATTAATGATTATACGAAATGTTTTTAATTATTAATAGACTGACAATCATTTATTATATCAATATAAAAATAAAATAACGAAAATAAAAAGTTTATTATTATATTTATTGCGATCACACAGTCAGCGAAGATGAAGTGAAGCAATGGTAAGTAAAGTTAAGCTTAAAAACTACTTGTGTTTTATATTTAGAAATGCTAATTGATATGATTTCTCTGTAATACCATTTCCCACACACACTGTATTCAAAGGTATTCGGGATTTTCAAAGGTGTGCCAAAACAAACAGGTATTACATGTGACGACAACTTAATCGATAACAAAGTGCTTTTTGTATTCTCTCTATTGGTATCCAAAAGGACTGTCCAGACGGGCGACTCACAGAACAAGTTAGTCTTTACACGGAATATATGAAAGTTTTTATAATTTTAAAAATATATAAAATATAAATCTTTCATAAGTTACTTTACATAAAATTATAGCTAACCTCACGTCCCATTCCGTGATTAGAATATAAAAGATTGCCTATAAATCGGAAATTTTTCTGATGTGTTATATATTTTTCACGAGTTTTTATGAATTTATTTATATTCTGTAGGCATTCCTCAAAATATATCAACAATTTTTCCCAAAAGGAGACCCAAAAAAGTTCGCGTCGTTTGTATTTAGAGTCTTCGACGACGACAAAGTAGTTTTCAAAACCAAATTCTTTGCCCACAATAATACTTAAGTAAATAATAACATGTTTATTAAACTTAGGACGGAATGATTACATTTGAAGAGTTTATCAGAGCGCTGTCGACCACATCCCGGGGCACATTAGAGGAGAAGCTTTTATGTCAGTTATTATCAATAAGTGTTTAACAATTGTTTTTGTATTATTTATATTTACTTCACGTATTAAATAAGCTTTCATACATGTCAATAAATTATAGGGACTTTTAAGTTATATGATTTGGATAACGATGGGTATGTATTGGGGAACGGGTGATGGAAACTATCTAATACTCATAGAGTATGTCTTTCATTCATCAGATTTATCACACGAGAAGAGATGATTCTTATAATAGAAGCCATATATCAGATGTTGGGCCCAAACACTGAGAGTGAAGATGAAAATGCCGAGAAGAGAGTGGAAATGATATTCAACCACTTGGATACAGTAGGGCTCACACATACCATCCCTTCCCATCCCACTCGTCCACTCATATTCTTTGTATTCTTTGAATGTTTCAGAATAAAGACGACAAGCTTTCAATGGATGAGTTTATGGAGGGCTCGACACAAGACCCCAAAATAGTGGCCGCACTCTCT